AGACAATGTCTGACCATCCTGGGTTCCTAGGATCATTCTGGGAGTATTTATTCATAAGCAAATTGATTTGTTCTTTTGGCAGTCTATGGAACTTTTAATATTCTCCAAATCGTAACTTAAATGCATCAATTTTTCAAAGTCTTTCTTATTCATTATCCAACTTTCACAATCATATGAGGCTTGGGTCAGATGCACCTTAATCTTCAAACTTCACTTGTATATGAGGCCTTGGCTTTGTTTTAACTGATGATATGGAGCTTATTCACTGTTCTTTTCACAGATATAGTTAATTTGATTTCTGTGTATTCTATGTGGTGAAGTATCTTATGTTGTTTTATAAAAGGTATTTGCAATGGAGAAGCCATTGGTCTTGCAAACTTCCATCATGCCGTCTCCAGCATCATTTCTATCACCAAGGTCATATATTCCAACTATTAATCCTTCCTTTTTGTTTCCAAAATTGTACTCCAATCACCAGTAATTATCAAAACATCTGGATTGCCCATTTATCCAGTTCAGACTGAAGACATTGAAATAATTCTTTAATTTCATCATAAATTTTAAGAAGTATCATACAATGAATAGCCAAAGGTAATGAAGGAAGAAATTAAAGCTTCACTGAAGACATTGGCAAAGAATAGGGTTCCAGGAATTGATGGAATACAAAATGAAACCTTTCAACAAACTGAGGCAGCACTGGAGGCACTCACTCAACTATGCCAAGAAATTTGGAAGACAGCCACCTGGCCAACTGATTGGAAGAGATCCATATTTGTACACATTACAAAGAGAGATGACACAACAGAATGTGAAAAACACCAGACGATATCAGTAATATCACATGCAAGCAAACTATTACTCAATATAATTTAAACACACCTGCAGCATTATATTGAAAGGAAACTACCAGAGTTTTAAGGGAGATTCAGACAAGGATGTGAAATGAGGGATATCATTGCTCACACCAGATGGATCTTAGCTGAAAACAGCGAATACCACAAGGATGTTTACCTGTGCTTTATTGATTATGCAAAGGCTTTCAAGTGATGGATCATGACAAGCTATAGGCCACATTTCCCAGTAAGAGTATTCCAGAACACTTAATTGTGCTCATCAGAAACTACTACAGAGACCAAGAGGCAGTCATTTGAACAGAACAAGGGAACAATTACTGGTTTAAAATCAAGACAAGTATGTGCCAAAGTTGTATTCTTTCACCATACATATTTAATGTCTGATGAACAAATATTTTGAGAAACTGGATTATATGAAGAAGAACATGGCATCAAGTTTGGAACAAAAATCATTAACAACATGCTATATGCACATGATATGACCTTATATGCTGAAAACATAGAGGATTTAAAATGCTTACTGATGGAAATCAATAGCCTTTGGTGTGGGTTGCACCTCAATATAATGAAAACAAAAATGATCTGGAATGATAAATAACATCAAGATACATGGAGAAAAGTTTGAATCTGTCAAAGACTTCACTTTGCAGAGGTCCACAATGAACACTCAAGGAAGCAGCAGTAAAGAAATCAAACAATATATTCCATTAAGCAAACCTGCTGCACAAGGCCTATTTAAAGTGTTCAAGAGCAAAGATTAAGTTTGAGGACTAAAATGCTTGTGACCCAGGTCATTTCTTTTCAATAGCCTCATATGCTTGTGAAAATTGTACAGCAAATATGAAGACCATAGAAGATTTACTGCAGTTGAGTTATGTTGTTGGAAAAGAATACTAAAAGTGCCATGGACTGCTACAAGAACAAATTTGTGTTGGAAGAAGTATAACCAGAATGCTCCTTAAAAGCCAGGATGTTAAGACTTCATCTCTCATTCTTTGAACATATTGTCAACAGGGACACATTTTAACCTCAGTATTTAGTTGTGATCATTTGGATTCTATTTCTTAAATCATGCATCAAATTTTATGTTTATAGCTCCAAGAACATGTTTGGTCCTCCATAATTGTGATAACTTTCCTACATAAAAGAGATCATATGGATCCTGTTACAATGACTGGAAACAAAACTTTGTGCTACTGCCCTGGCTACATTCATGTGGGGTGCAGATGTCAATAGAGTTGAGAGGAAGCTAGTGCCTAAGCATTTTACTGGGGAGGTCACATCCTATTGGAGAACATGGTGGACAACCTTAGAAATGATGGAATCACATTTCATATACCCTTTCCAAACTGGAATTCCAAAAAGGGCCAACATGAGCCAATAGTCACTATATTCACAGTTTTCCATGAACATGACCTGGATCTTCAAACCTGTGTCCTCCACAGTCAAAGAGCTAAACTTTAAGTGAGCTTGACTCCTGGAGGTGTCTCTGGTGATGCTAAATGAGGATGTTGGAGTTCAGTTATAATATCTGTTTCCTTCACTTCCTATATCACTGATCAATTCCAGGACCTTTCCTGGAACCAGTTGTTGTTTGATGTTAGGTGACCACATTGAACAAAAAACTCTAGGAGGAAGCTTCAAAAATTTCATTGGGTAATTCCATTATATTTAGACTCCATTGTTCCACAGACTTTTTGAAGGATCTTCATATAGAAATCCTTCTGGGAAAATGGTCATGCACTTAAGTCTCCACAGGTTTAGTGCGCTGGGTATTCTTATAGCCATTTTGGAGATAAAAAATCACCTTAGAAGGTGAGAGACCTGTCTAAGGTCATGTGACTCTCAAACTCTTAGCTTTGATGTGATCCCAATATGTGATATTTAGGTAAAAAAAAAAACTCTTAAAAGCATGTGCTATCTCAAAATCCTCCCAAGAACTGCTGAGTGAGATGTTAGAATGAAGCAAGAGAGTAAACGCATCAGAAAATGTGTTGAGAGATGACAGAAGGGAGAAAATCAAGGGGAGAATCTCATGAAATCAGAATGTATGTTACAGTATCAGAGTTGTCTCTGTCAGAGTTTTCATGATCTTCAGAGCATAATTTTTGTTGTTAAGTGTTGTAGAGTCATTACAAATTCATAACATCTCAGTGTATGGGTGTTCAGGAGAGATTGGTGAATTTCAAACACTGACATTGTGGTTACCAGTCCCATGCTTATTAGGTTTCTGAATTCTAAACAGATGGTGTTTAGAAGTGGGGTGGGAAGCTCAGACTTTCTCCTTTCAATTTCTGAGACAAGACTGACAAGACTGAAGCCTACCCTGGCACTTCCTTATTTTATACCTCGGGTTGCTAAAATGAAAATCAACCTTTTATATTCCAGGCGAAATCTTAAAACCTTATGGCAGATTTTCAGTATGGACTGGATTCTCAAGAAACAACATTCCTTGATTTTCCTGTCGATGTTCTTTTGCTTGGTGATCACTTCTCAGTGTGAGTGTCAAAAGATTTGTAAATAGATTGACATAAATCAAATGTATATTACTTGGCATCATAGACTATTTTCCCTGTCCCCAGTTGTACTACCCCAGATACAGCTGGAGGGGTCAGGCACAGTAGTGGTGATTCCCTCATTGATCCTCTCCCTAACCTGAATCCTTGGTAACTCTATAATCAATAAATATTGCTGAAGATGGATTTGCCAACACTGAGAAGAGATTGTAGTATCTATCAAAAGTATACTTTCATAACAGAAAAGACTATGACCCATCTGAAGAGTTGACTCTTGAGTTCCACAAGCACATCCACACCAGTCCTCCCTACAGCTGAGCTCTTTGACCACTGAGGACACAGCCACTTCTTACTGTTTGAAAGAAACTGTGAGGGAAAGTCAGTGGAATCACAGGCACAAACTCCCTGTAGTAACAGGACTGGTGGAGAGTGATTGCTCTGGAAAGTTGGATAACAAGAAACTTACTGTATGTATCTGGGATTTCCTTTCCTCCAAAGCATAATATTTCATTGTAGGATTTACCCCTTCTTAAAATATATTACAAAGCTCCATAGATATGAGTATTACAATCATTCATTCATACATTGTACTTAAAAATTTGTATATGCACAAGTATTCACTGATAAACACAAATAGTATAAGTGTCATAGACAGCTAACATGTGCATTTATATGATATGTATCTTAGATGGTTATATTTAACTGGATGAAAATCAAAGCCAAAATGTGTAGAATTCAATTTGATAGTATTTAGTGGGTAATTCAAAGCAGGAAACACTGCTGTTAAATAGAAAGACAGCTCTCAAATTAATTACCTCTGTTTTCACCTATAAACTGAGAATATTATATCATATGTTAGGAAGAAAATGCATATAACTGCTATACTCCTCATAAATTAAATAGAAAGAACACAATAAGACAATTAAATTAAACCTGATTATATTAGAAGATCAAGTAAATTGATAAAAATCCAGTTTTCTTTATCAATACTTTAAAAAAGAGAGAGAGAGATGAATCTCCAAGTTCAGAAGTTAGAGAGAAGACATCACCTAACAGTGACTGGATATTAAAAGGAAAAAATGGTAATATTTTATAAGCAAGTTAATGTCAAACCTTCAAAAAATGTTGATGATTGGGGGAAATTACTTTGAAGGCAAAAATATTAATAATCTTCACACACAAGAAACAGATAACCACAGCTGTCCACTGTCATCATACTGACATGAGGAGTGACTTCCTATGCATTGACATCTATAGGAGGGAGAAAAGAGGAGATATTATGATCTCTCATCCCACAGGGTTTGCTGTACACTTAAAATAATGTTGATGAATGTAAATTTCCTATATTTCTTCCAAAAATTTGTAATTTTTAACAAGCACACCAATGTTTTTTATAGCATGCAGAAAAAAAGCCTTTGTACTAGATCAGTTCTCCTGTGAAGGTGCTAGTGTTTCCCTGAATCACACTCACTTCTGTGCTTCTAAATGGAGGAGGATATGCAAATGCAGCACTGTGTTTGCTGATAAATGCTGCACAGCCCTTGCACTGGGATCTTTGGGTGAGAATCCCCAGTCTCTGGCCTCTCTGCTGTTTCCATTTGTGCTCAAGAGCTAATCCAAAGGATATATCATGAATTTGAGGCTGAGCTGGGCTTTCATTTTGACCATTTTACATGGTAATAATTGAAGACACTATGTTGTGTGTGTATGTGTTTGTCTGTGTTTCATCTAATCTCTGTATTTGCAGGTGTACAATGTGAGGTGAAGCTTGTGGAGTCTGGGGGAGATCTAAGACAACCTGGACAGTCTCTGAGACTCTCCTGTGAAGGCTCTGGATTCACCTTCAGTAATCACTATATATACTGGATCCGCCAATATCCAGGAAACAAATTGGAGTGGGTCAGCTTTATTAGAAACAAAGCTAATGGTGGAACACAAGAATATGCTGCATCTGTGAAAGACAGATTCACCATCTCAAGAGATGATTCCAGAAACATTGCCTTTTTGCAAATGACTGGACTGAAACCTGAGGACACAGCCATGTATTACTGTGCAAGAGACACAGTGAAGAGAAGTCAGTGTAAGCCTATACACAAACCTACCCTTTATGGAGGTTATGGGGCTGAAAGGAGTGTTCAGGACCCAGCACACACAAAGACTAGTTCTAGGAACAGATCTGAATCTGAGAAGGTGTTTCCTGTTGGAGGTTGCAGTTTTCCTTTCACTTAAACTGGAGACTTATGTGGTTATTAATTAAGGATTCTAAGCATTATAGTTTACAATACTTTATTCTTGAGTTTTGGTTTTCTGTGTGTGTCTTGTTTTGCTTCTTTTTGCAATTCCCACAACTTGACCGCCAATTTGTAATAGTGTAATGACATGTGATGCTGTGATGCTGGAAAGTATGTCACTGATATCACAAATACAAGTAGGGTCATCTATGGTGGAAAGATTTTAGCAGATCTCCAAGATTAAGACAAACTAGGAAAAAAGACCTTGTAATCAAACTTCTAAAAACATAACAAAAAAAGATAAGGAAAAACATTTTTTTAAAAGCAGAGGAGTGTCATTTGATATCATGTGTAAAAATGTGCTCTTCAAGTTTCAAAGCATTTCAAATACTACTGGGGAATAGCTAAAGTCTCAAAATTAATTGTATATGTTAATGGCCTGGATGAATTAACCTTTTTAGACTTTCATTTGTTAATATGGCATGATTCAATATGTAAAGAAACAGATTTTAAAACACATTAATTATCACAAAGTGAAGCAATAGTGGTAAATAAAGGTAAATTCACAATTCTGCAATAACAGTTATGTATGAGTGGTTTTACAAATAGACATGCATGTGGAATGGTTATGGAGGGCTGGGTGGGATTATACACTCAAATACATAGATTTGACAGAGGATAATTTTATATGTGTATTTAATAGTGACAAAGAGACTCATTGAACCTCTGAAACTATGTCCCTTAGTAAACCTTCAGGTCTGTGACTGAACTCACTCAATGGCTCAGTTTTCAGCCAAAGAATAGACAAGTCTATGAAAGGAACAATAACTCTAAGGAGCTGCACAATCCTTAGGATGATCAAGCAGAGATTGACATTCATAGAAACAAGACCAAGAACTCAATGGACAGTTGGAAGAGTTGAGAATAGAACAAAACTATAAGAACAAATTCAGAGAATCTGGGAGGTAAGTCTATGACCAAAACAATTACAAAGTGAAAGAAGGTAAACACATAGGAACAGAGATACAGATGGTGAGAAGGTCAGGCAGATTATAGGATAAAAAAGATTGCACTAAATGGAAGGAAAAGTTAATGGGATATAATATAACCTCAAGGAAAAACAATACTTTACAACATACCAAGAAAATGAATATCCAAGAAAATTGGAAATATTAAAACTATGAGTAAACTGACAAGAAAGAACACAAAACACATGAGCTAAGCACAGGAAGACATACAAAACAAGGAAAGCAGCAGAGCAACAACAACAACAAAACATAATGGCAGCAATTAATCCATACCTATCAATAATTACACTAAATGTAAATGGATTAAATGCACAAGTTAAGAGACAGAGACTGGCAGAATGGATAAAAAAACAAGATCCTTCAATATGCTGTCTGCAAAAGACACACATTAAAGACAGAGACAAAAACAGACTAAAAGTCATAGGATGGATAAAACATATACCAAGCTAATTGCAATCAAAAACGAACAGGCGTGACAATACTAATCTCTGGTAAAGTAAACTTTCAAGGCAAAAACCAGCATAATAGATAAAGATGGACATTACCTCATGATTAAAGGGACAATTGAACAAGATGACATAACTATACAAAATATCTATGCTCCCAATAAAAAAGCTGCAAAATATATAAAGCAAACTCTAATAGATTTGAAGAAAGAAATGGATGAATCGACAATAATATTGAAGAGTTTTAACCCACCATTTTCAAAAATGATTAGAACAGCCAGAGAGAAACTCGACTAAGACATAGAGGAACTATACAACACAATCAGCCACCTGAACTTAATAGAAGTGTACAAAGCATTCGACCCCAAAACAGCACAATACACAATCTTTTCCAGTGTGCGTTGATCATCTTCATGAATAGATCATGTATTAGACCATAAAACAAACCTCCATATATTTACAAATGTCAAAATACTACAAAACATCTTCTGAACCACAATGCTATCAAATTAGAAATCAACAATAGGAATTCCAAGAAAGTTAAATATATGGAAACTGAATAATACCCTGCTGAAAAATGACTGGGTAGTAGAAGAAATTAAATATGAATTCACAAAGTTCCTAGAAACAAAAGAGAATAAAAACACAACATATCAAAATATTTGGGACACGGTGAAAGCAGTGCTGAGAGGAAAAATTATTGCAATAAATGCACTCATCCAAAAAGAAGAAAGAACCAAAATTAACACATTAACACAGCATCTACAACAGTGGGAACCTACAGTTACCAAAAGAAAAGAATAATATAGATTAGAGAAGAAATTAATGAGGTGGAAAACAGAAAAACTATACAAAGAATCAACAGGACAAGAAGCTGGTTCTTTGAAAGGATTCATAAAATTGAAAAACCATTGGCAAGCCTAATAAAAGAAAAGAGGGAGAAGACACAAATAGCCTGCACTAGAAACCACATTGGTGATGTCTTAACAGAACCAAAGGAAATCAAAACGATAATAACAGAATACTATGAAGAGTTGTACTCTAACAAATTTGAAAACTTAGAAGAGATGGATATATTTTTATAAAAACACGACCTACCTAAATTTGGTAGTGGTTACGAATCGGGCTGCGAAACTTAAGGTCAGCGGTTCGAAACTATCAGCCGCTCCGCGGGAGAAAGATGAGGCTTTCTACTCCCGTAAGGATTTACACCCTCGGAAACCCTGTACAGGGTCGCTATGGGTCGGAACCGACTCAACGGCACTTAACAACAACAACAACAACAACAACAACCTAAATTTGCACAGAGTGAAGTAGAAAACCCCAACAGACTCATAACAAAGAAGAAATTGATCAGATCATCAAAAACTTCTGAACCAAAAGAAATCCAGAACCAGATGTCTTGACTGGTGAGTTCTGCCAAACATTCAGGGAAGAGTTGTCACCAATTCTACTCAAATCATAACAGAGTATAGAAGAGGATGGAAAACTCTTGAATACATTTTATGAAACAAGCATAACCCCCATACCGAAACCAGGGAAGACTGTCACTAAGAAAGAAAATTATAGACCAATAATCCTCATGAACATAGATGCAAAAATTCTCAACAAAATCCTAGCCAACAGAATCCAGCAGCACATCAAAACAAAACAAACAAACAAACAAAAAATATCATATCAGGGATGAAAGAATGGTTCAACATTAGAAAAATAATCAAACAAATACAACATAGATATAATAAAAAAGAAAAGCACCACATGATCATATCAATTGATGCAAAACAGGCATTTGAGAAAATCCAATATCTATTCCTAATAAAAACATTCAACAAACTAAGAATTGAAATGAAATTCCTTAACATAAGTAAAAGCATATATACAAAACCAACAGGCTACATTATTCTCAATGGAGAGAAACTAAAAGCTTTCCCTCTGCGAACAGAAACCAGACAAGGATGCCCTTTGTCACCACTCCTATTCTATATTGTGCTAGAAGTCTTAGCCAGAGCGTTGCAGCAGGATACAGAATTATAGGCATCAAAATTGGCAAAGAGGAAGTAAAACTCTATTTGCAGATGATATGAGCCTATATAAAGAAATTCTCAAAGACTCAGGAAAAAAGCTACTAGACTTCATTGGAATATTCCACAAAGTGGCAGGATATAAGATCAAGATATAAAATATCAGTGAGATTCCTTTATAGTAACAATAACAGCGCTGAAAGGAACATTGGAAAAGCAATACCATTTCCAATAGCCACCCAAAGGATAAAATATCTAAGAATAAATGTAACCAGAAAAACAAAGGACCGATACAAAGAAAATTACAAAACACTGCTACAAGAAACCAAAAGAGACTTACAAAACTGGAAGAATATACCATACTCCTGCATAGGAAGACTTAATATTGTGAAAATGTCAATACTACCTAAAGCAATTTAAACATATAATGCAATCCCAATCCAGATTCCAAGGACATTCTTCAAAGAGATGGAAAAAAACAATTACAAATTTTATATAGAAAGATAAGAAGAATAATGGTGGAAACCTCTCATTCCCTGATTTCAAAATTTACTACATGGCTTGTTGTTGTTGTTGTTGTTAAGTACCGTTGAGTCGGTTTCGACCCATAGAGACCCTGAATAGGGTTTCCGAGGCTGTAAATCTTTACGGGAACAGATCACCTCATCTTTCTCCAGCGGAGCAGCTGGTAGTTTCGAACTGCTGACCTTCCGGTTCGCAGTCCGATTCGTAACCACTACGCTACCAGAGCTCATGGCTACAGTGGTCAAAATAGCCTGGTACTAGTTCAACGAATGATACATTGATCAATGGACCAAAATCTGGAATCCAGAAATTAACCCGTCCACATATGGCCAATTGATTTTCAACAAATACCTGAGTATATTTCATGGGGAGGAGGTGGTCTCTTCAACAGTTGACGCTGGCAGAACAGGAAAGTGATATGCAAAAGATTGAAGCAAAACTGAGTCATGATTGGAATGGGGGGGTATCATGTTAGGATGCTGGAATGTCTCTTAATTATGTGACTAATCAAGGGG